AGAAGATAAGCAACATTGAGAGTTGCGGAAGAACAAAGAATCCAAAGACCTGCTGACGAGAAACTGGAGCGGACTAAATTTGGCTCTGACAACTGAACCTTTCTCCCCAATCCCTTTAAATACACCAAAACCTCGTACTCGCTGTCTTTATTTTTCCATCCGACAAATATCTTTAGAGCCATGTAGGACTGCGTATCGGATGATTCAGACTGTAAGAATGTTTTAGGGCCTAAAGGGAGACAACTAAAGTGTCTTTACCTTTACTCTTTTTCTAAAGTGTGGTCCTTCCTAATGTAGCTAGTTTTCCTTGTTGCAATCTTTCTACTTCAGTAAACCGTGCGGTACTGTAATGGCTAGTATGTATGCCTCTGTGAAAACATTATTGATTGAAAGAGTATGGTAGTGGCTCTCCTTTTTGAACGCTTCGCACTGTGTCCTTTCTCATCATTCCCAACTCTTACAAGCAGCTACTGCGCCGTTAATAAAACCTGGCACGTGCTGTTAAAAAAAAAACAAATATATATAATATATATATAATATTATATCCGAAGAAGAGAGAGAGAGAGAGAGAGAGAGAGAGACAGCCCGGTCTCAACTATTGTCCGTGATCTCCAATTGCCTGGCGCAAGTGATCCTCCCCCCATCGGCCCCTGCTCCAAGTGCTGGGATCCAGGTATAGCCACCACAATCTGGGCCCCCAAATAACTTCTTGATCCCTGTCAATACTTCCTAAATTCAAAAATGTCAGCGAAACTCAGCGAGAGGCCCTGACTAGGATATAGAATTCTGTCTAGCAATGTAGTCAAAATTTTCAACCTCACAATAGTGCCGTATTAGTAGTTCAAATCAAGGTAGAAAGTTGATGACTAGCATTTTAAAATAAGTAGAAATTGGCCCAGTGTGTGGCTCACGCCTGTAATCCCCAGCCTTTGGGAAGGACCAAGGCAGGGTGGATCACCTAAGGTCAAGGAGTTCCGAACCCAGCCCCTGCCAATTATGCCAAAACCCTGTCTCTACTGAAATATAAAACGTAGCTGGTATCGAAATCGGGCTGCACCCTGTAACCCAGCCTACCTGCTGGGAGGCTGAAGCGGGAGAATTGCCGACACCCCAGGAGGTGGACGGCTTGCCACGCTGAGCCCAGATGGCACCACTTGACGCACTCCAGCCGGGTAACAGACCAAGATTCCATCCAAAAAAAAAAAAAGAAGAAGCCCAGGCCGGTGGCTCATGCCTGTAACTCCCAACAACTTAGGAGGCAAAATGGGGGTCCAGGACTAAGTGCTTCTCCAAAGGTCAAGGTGAAATAGAAAAGCCAGAGCTTCTATTTCTGTGGTAAGATACATCCCCTTCAGTTTCCTGTGACTTAAGCCTGTCACAAGGCAGGGGCTCAGGATCACCCTCGGATAGAAGTCAGGGCCACTGTGGGATTGGTGGCAACTGACGGGGCATCCTTTCAGATCTATGTTGATCTTTCCCCCTTGCTTTCTCCTGAGGCCAGTTTCCCTCCCTAAATGTCCTAGATGAACAAAAGCTTACTGCCACTTGTAGGACACCTTGTATCATTATGCCAAATTTCTACACTCAGGCCTTCTTTGTATTCCCATCTACTCAGAACTGGCATTTTAAAGATCCCAGGGCACCTACTATGTGCCAGAGACAGGAGCCAAGATGAACTGTGCTGCACCACTGCACACAAGCCTCATCCTGTCCTCTTGCTTTAGATATTGCTCGGAACCTATTGTTGTATTCAACTACACTTGTACTTGTTTCTATTTGCCCTACATGGGCATAACTCTTAAAACCAAGCTTTGTTCAGAATTCCTCTGATTGATCATTTAAGTAAATTTAAAAGCCAATTCAAGGAATACAAAAACTGCATAATAATTTCCAACTCAAGAGTATAAACTTAGATCACTCACTAGCCTCTGGTTGAAAACAGTAATCGTGATTTATATGGAATGCTAAATACCTATGTTCTAAGTGTGCTCTCTTGCCACAAACCCATTTAATCCTAACAATCTTAGGTAAGTTGAGGTAGGCTGTTGTTCTCATAAATAAGTTTGGTAAAACCCCAATCTCAAGATACAGCCCAAGCCACAGAGGCACATGCGTTAGCAACACGTGGACCCCACCACAGTATTAGCAATCATCTTTTGCTGTAAGTGCTTGGCTTCCAAGAGCTTTTATACAGATGTCTAAGAGCCACAAAATATATATAATTAGGCTATTTCCCAAATAGCACAGGAAAGCTGCCAAAGGCGTTCCCTGAATTGAGAGGCAATGCACTGACAATGGGGACTATTACAGCCTCTGGATACAAGATGACGTATCTGTCAAATGCTACTCTAGAAATAATTAAGGTTCCCTTTAGTCATTTCACAGGAGTTGCTACAGCAGCACATAAAGTTTTATTAATATTCTGATTCTCGCGTCGTCGTTTTTATGGCAGGAAAGAATGAGGACATGCCCCACCTGTAATGTAGAGCAAGCAAACCACCAAGTAGGACCTGAGATTCTCTCTAAACTGTTCTCTAGTAACACGCTTGTGCCTTTAATCTGCCTTTTAAAAGGGACACAGAACAAAAAATGCTTGTTTGCAAATAAACATCTGAAAGAATATAGTAACAGCTGACCTGGGCTGAGGCATCCAAACAAAGCGGCCATTGTGGAGGTAGACAATGCAAACCACACTGGGGCAAGAAACTGAGGGCAGAGAACGTGCGGTCATTTGTGCCTTGGTATTTCTACCAGCCCCAAGGCCCCATCTGGAACAAGTATCAACCAGGAGGGTCTCTATGGCATGATTTATTAACCTAACTCGAAAGAAGTCACTGCCACCAACAGCACTGTGCAGTTTTATTAACCATTCAAGTCCAGTAGCATCTGGTAAGATTGGGACAGAATTGGGATTGAAAAGTGAACAGATATTCAGCATCTAACAGTTCAAAAGAAGCCACTACATACTCTTTTCACAAATATGTTTTCACAGAGCCAATACAGTACTAGCCATTAACCCAGTACACCAAGTGTACCGAAGTAGAAAAGATGCAACAAGAAAAATAGCTACATTAGAAAGACCAACACTTTAGAAAAAGAGTAAAACACTTTTAGTTTCTCCCCTTTAGCCCCTAAAACAACATCTTACAGTCTGAATCTACCTATACAGTCCTACATTAGCTTCTAAAATATTTGTCAGGAGGGAAAAAATAAAATGACACTGGCCAGTACAGTCTTTGGATATTTAGGAAGGGGATGGGGAGAAAGTCAGTTGTCAGAGCAAATTAGTCAGCTTCAGTCTCGTCAGCAGGGTCTTTGGATTCTTTGTTCTTCCGCACTTCTTCAATGTGCTTATCCTTCTCTCGCAAACGCTCCAGTTTGGCAGCCATTTGTGCCTTTCGGTTCTCTTTGTTAGCTTCCATTTTGTGGGTCAGTTTCTCTTCTGCCATTTTACTGAAGTTGTTGTTCTCTTCTATTGCCTTCTGAAGCACTTCTTTCTCGTGCTCTCGTTTCTCAGCCAGCTGCTTTAAGACCTCAGCTTCATGTGACTTACGTCTTTCTTCTGCAGCTTCTAATTTCTTCTGAATTTCCTCCAGAGAAAGATCCTTCTTCTTTGGAGGGGAAAGGGGGAATTCTGGAACAGATTCTTTTGACCGACGGCTGAGAATCAGCTCAAAAGCCTGGCCTGAGGCACGCTTCTCCAGTTCTTTCACCTGGATATCAGAAGACGCCATGGTGAATAGAAGACAAGCGACAGGCAGTGTATTCTGCACAATCAACTGGGATAAGGAAAGCCCTGCTTGGTCCAAGCCGCCTGACCACACTCTCTTTTGTTTTTTTTTTTAAAGAAGCTTAGCTGGGCACAGTAATACCAGAACTTTGAGAGGCTGAGGTAGATGGATCACTTAAGCTCAGGAATTCAAGACCAGCCTGGGCAACATGCCGAAACCCTGTCTCTACAAAAAATACAATAATTAGCTGGGTGTGGTGGTGCATACCTATAGTCCCAGCTACTCTGGAGGCTAAGGCAGGAGAATCACTTGAGTCTGGGAGGCAGAGGTTGCAATGACCCGAGACTGTATCATTGCACTCCAGCCTGGGTGACGGGAATGAAACCCTGTATCACGAGGTCAGGAGATCAAGACCATCCTGGCCAACACGGTGAAACCCCGTCTCTACTAAAAATATAAAAAATTAGCCAGGCGTGGTGGCGGGTGCCTGTAGTCCCAGCTACTCGGGAGGCTGAGGCAGGAGAATGGCGTGAATCTGGGAGGCGGAGCTTGCAGTGAGCCGAGATCGCGTCACTGCACCTCCAGCCTGGGCGACAGAGCAAGATCCCATCTCAATAAAAAAAAATAATAAAAATAAAAAATGAAAGCTTATTTGAACATTCATTCAGAAATACTTATTTAGCAGCTACAATGTCTTAGACACTATGATACATGCTAGAGATACAGTGGGAAGGGAAAACGAAACTTGGCCCCTACCCTCATAGAACCAAAAATTAGTGTCCTGAATGAATTATTTGCAATAATTAAAAATGCATATTCTAATCTTTTTATTAGATTCAGATGAGATATGCAAAAATGCATATTTTAATCTAAAAGTAAAATATGCTTACTGTAAAAAAATTTCAAACTATGTAAAAAAGTGTAACATAGTAAGCAAAAAAAAAAAACCAACAATTCAGGCTGGGTGTGGTGGCTCATACCTGTAATCTCAGCACTTTGAGAGGCTGAGGCAGTCAGATCGCTTGAGGTGAGGAGCTGGAGACCAGCCTGACCAACATGGTGAAACCCTGTCACTACTAAAATTACAAAAATTGTTCAGGGGTGGAGGCACACATCTGTACTCCCAGCTACTTAGGGAGGCTGAGGCACAAGAATGGCTTGAACCCATGAGGCAGAGGTTGCAACAAGCCAAGATTGCGCCACTGCACTCCAGCTTGGGCAACAGAGTGAGGCCCTGTCTCCAAATTGCTTCCCCTTTACTTTTTTTTTTTTTTTTTCTGAGACGGAGTCTTGCTCTGTCTCCCAGGGTGGAGTACAGTGACACAATCATGGCTCACCGTAGTCTTGATTTCCCAGGCCCAAGTGATCTTCCCATCTCAGCCTCCAGAGTAACTGGAACTCCAGGAGCACCACCATGTGTGGCTAATTTTTAAAAACTTTTTAGTAGGGTCGAGGTCTCGCTATTTTGCCCAGGTTGGTCTTGAACTCCTGAACTCAAGTGATCCTCCCCACTTGGCCTCCCACAGTGCTGGGATTACAGGAGTGAGCCACTGTGCCTGGCCCTCCTTATCTTTTTGTGGATAAAGTTCTGTATTTATTTTATTAGAACAGAAGGACTGAATTTCTGTTTGAATTTCTACCCCTGGGAAATCTTTTGGAGGAGTGTGACTCTGCTTCCCAGAGCTTCATCATCCCCACCTCGAGACAGTTAGTTGAATCCAGGAGAGTTGAGCACCAGGCCCTGAACCTTTGGTGCCTCACCTTGACAATGTTATATTTCAATGACATTCTGCTTAAAGGCCAACAAATTGGCCTGTCCATATGTTAATTGCAACGGGAAAGCTTCCAGGTGACTGAGGATATTGAACAATGCCATTTGTTCTAAGATGATATCATCACTTTTGGTATTTTTTGCCCAGGTATTTTTTGCCTGAATCCCCCCAAGATTATCCAAAAACTAGACTAAGATTTCTGGATTCTTGCATAAACTTCTGCTTCAATGTGGCTGTCCAGGGCTGGACTCTTAAACCTCTGAAGCAGGCTAAAGAGGAAATAGTGTGGGGAAGTTGGATACAATCATGCATTGGAGGAAAACATTTGGTTTGAGTCATTCACAGATATTCCCAGAGCATCTATAGATTGCAGATTTCTATGTGAGGAGCCTTGGAGTCCTCAAAGTTGAACAAAGTTCTCCACCATATTTAACAGAGAGCTAGAACAGCTAGAACATTGTATGCTTCATGGAACATTCTTTGGAGAAGCAGAGCATTTTACAGCCATTGTGTTCACCCAGGATTAGACACACAGAGGATCAAATTAACCTGCACTTATTTAGTTGGAAAGAAGTTTGAAGACAATGAAAAAAAAGATTTAGTGACTTTTATGGTAGTTGTTAAATTATGTTCAGTGGAATGCTGCCTCTGACTTTATTTATGAGTGGTTTTATATTTCCAGAATATTTGGTTTCTGATCTACTTATAAAATGTTTCTGATCTTGTTCCCCATTCTTTGGATACTTCCTGATAAAAATATCTTTTGCTGTCAATCTAGAGCTTTGTTTCTCCATAAAGAATATATGTTACTTTCTTTCTTCTCTATTACTCATTTTCTATTCAGGCCAAGGCAAGTCACAACATTATTTGTTGAACACGTGCTATGAGCCCTCAAGAGCAGAAATGAGTCTCACCTGTCTGTTTTTTTCCTCTGTACAAAAACTAACACATACAAGTCCAATTTAGAACAGTTAACTTTTAGTGAACACCTACTATGCAGACTTAAGCCTTGCATCCAACTTATGTATCATCTGATAGGGAGAGAGGCCCAAGAACACAAACAATTAAAATAAGAAGCAGAATCTATAAAGTGCTACCAGGAATCACAGACATTTGAGTGATCTTGTTTGAGGGTTCAGTAAAACTTTCTTTAGTAAATGAAATTTGAATTGGATCTAGATGACTGTTAAGATTTCAACCGTTACTTAACATTATTGACTACCTGTTATGCTAGGTGCTGGGATGCAAAGTCTCTGCAACCGTAGAGTACTTAGAGACTAGTAGGGAATACAACACATGTATTTGTCGAGACCCTGCTGGCTTAAGCATAAAAGGCACCTGGTTGGCACATACAATTGACAAGTCCAGGAGGGGAGGTGGTGTCAGGCATAAGTGGATCCGGGAACTCAAATAATGTGATTGTTGCTTAGGTCTCCTCTTTTTTCTCCCTTTACAATTGGACTTCCTCTATGTGGTAGTGGTTTGAAGGCATTGTGTGGAAATTGGCCACAGACAACTTCTGTCTTACATCATCTCAGCTGTTAGAACCAAAGAAAGAGAGATCTTTTCACCTTCCATGTATAGGACCCTGAGAAGAGATGCTTGTAGGCCTGGCTTGGGTCATGTGCCTACAGTTATAGCCAGAGGTCCCTGGAGTCGTATTCAGAAGCCATAGCAGATCCACAGTGAATGAAGGAGGGGCAATTCTCTAACTACAGGGTGCACCTGATACCAAAGGAAGGCGGGGCCGTGGAGGAAGAGATGTTGGGCAGATGAGCAGAAGAGTCCCTCTGAAGGAAAACAAAAAATTACAATAAAATATGACAAAGGCTCTAATAGAGATATGTATTAAGTGCCATCAGAACACTGATAAAGGAGTGACTTATGTCCTGGGATAGCAAAATATATAAGTAAGGACACAGAGACAGGAAAGCAGTGGAGCTATTTGTGGTCCAATCTGGCTCAGCACTGAGTAGGTATACTGAGAGGAGCAAAAGGAGACAGAGGAGAATTTAGAGACAAGTCTAAAATGCTATTTCAGGGCCCTACTGGGTAGGACTTGTCATAACAGAAACTCAGCCACATTTTTTCTTCTTTCTCTTACCCTTCACCGCTGTATGTCTGGCTTCACTACCATCTTTCCATTGGCGAGTTCTGGCTAAGGAGTTCTTGTTCACCTTTCTTAACATCCTTAGCTCCTTTCTCCTGCAAAATTCTTTTCCCTGGGCTTCCTCAATGCCACACTCTCTTGCTTCCTTCCAAACTCTCTAGCTACTGAGTTTTTTATTGTGGTAAAATACATAGAACATAAAATTTGTGATTTTAACCATTTTTAAGTGTGCAATTCACTGGCATTAATTACATTCATGCTGTCTAAATTGGGATAATTAGTGCTTTATTGGGTTTCTTCCAGTGGTCTCCTCCAAGCTGTAACCTCCAGAAAGGAAAGAAGGAGCTCTGTTCTGCTTGCCACTGTAGCCACTGTGGCTGTCACAGGCTACACGTTCCGTGTGTATTTGTTGAGGAACGAGTAGAGAGAGTGTTGGTTGTTTTCCATCTACGTTGCCTGATCCATTCCCTGACTTCTCTGCCTGAGGAGGCTGACCTCTGCAGACCTGGCTTCCTGGCTGGGGGACTTCTGATTGAGTTTGAGCAGAGGAGGATGCCAGCTGATCAGATGGCAAGAACAGAGAGAAGCTGAGTTTCTGAGCTGCCTCCCTTCATGACTATAGCTCCTAAGGGCACCAGCTTTTGCATGTCTCCAGCTCGCTATGGGCTCCAGGAGCACTTTGGCCCTTGGCATGGCCATGGTTTCCCACTGCTAGTATTTTCTGGGTGTCTCACTATTACTTTTTTTTTTTTTTGAGACAGGGTCTTGCTCTGTCACCCAAGCTGGACTGCAGTGGCCCAATCACAGCTCACTGTAGCCTCAACCTCCTGGGCTCAAGCCTCCCACCTCAGCCTACCAAATAACTGGGACTACAGGTGCATGACACCATGCCCAGCTAATTTTTTATATTTTGTAGAAATGGAGTCTTGCTGTGTTGCCCAGGCTGGTCTTTCACTCCTGGGCTGAAGCAATCCTCCTGGCTTGGCCTCCCAAAGTGCAGGGATTACAGGTGTGAGCCACCACACCCGGCCCACTTTTTTGAATTCTTAACTCTACCCACAAGTCTGTAATTAGTTCTTCTGTGATCCTGACTAATAACAGAGACAAACGAAGGTAGTGAGGGCTTGCACCAGGGAAAAACAGTCAGAAAAGAGAAGTGAGGATAGATGTATAATAAGTGAACCTTACAAGATTTAGCAACTGATTCCCCACATGATCTGTCTG